CTCCCATCTGGATGTGTTTCCTTTCAACTTCAATAAGGTGGTGTACAGAGGCCAAATGCCAAAACAGTTATCCTTATTCCAATATTTCTGGTCCTGGCTGTAAATCCAGAAAGGGGACAGCATGGCTTTCTAGCAGCATCCAGAAAGCTGCAAAAGGCAGCTCCCTTCAGGAAACAGAAAGTTTGTTCTTATCATGAGAACCAAAACAAGCATAAATTCTGGTAGAAAAAGTATAAGATACCAAGTTTGGAGAGAACACTAAACTATGGAATTTTTATATTTTGATGTTTTACTCTACTAGGTTTTGTTTCTACTGTAGTTTTAATAAGAAATTACTCTTCTAATTTTCCCTTATTCTACTCATGGACTTCTTGGATTTTAGAAAAGGACAAGTTACCTCCAAATGGCAAATTCAGTATAAGTATATGTAAAGTACAATGGAGCTAAAAGCCCTAACTTTGCATATACACTGAGGGAGTCTGAGTTCTCTGGAAAAAGATCTTAGAGTCAGGAAGGATAGCACAATAAAGACTTCGACTCAGCATGCAGCTGAGAAATTAACAAATTCCATGCTAGGGATACTTAAGCAAGGGACTGAAACTAAAAATACCAACCTTGTAATGGCCTTATACAAAGCTATGATACATATGCATCTGGAATAAAGTTTGGGACATTTTAGCTTGGAAAAAAGGCAGCTGAAGTGTATAAAATCATTCATGATAAAGAGAAAGTGGACAGGGAGAAGTTTTTCTCCCTCTTTCAAAATATTTGGACTGAAGGCATCCAATTAAGTTGGTTGAAAGGAGACTTACAACAGAGAAAAGGGTGCACTGCTCTTTGGAATAACATCCCTGGCCTCTGCTATCTTTTAGAAAGACCTTAAACATCTGGGTTTTCCTACACTCACTGGGCTGGAGTGTTATGTTTTGAGTGCTGTCTTCTCCTGGGGTAATGGTTTTTATTAATTTGACTTTTTTTTAGTTAGTTTTCATGATTTTTTAACCCTCTTCGTAAGCCACCTTGAGTCACTTAATGATTGGACAACCCTAGAAATGGAGTTAATTCACAAACAACCTGCAAAAATTATTACAGACATAATGCCTAACAACTTGGATGACTTTAAAATAGCATGGGATAAATTCATGGAGGACATGTCTGTCAAGGGTTATCAGGTTGGGGAGCGCACGCCTCCAAGTACCAAGAGCAATAATTTATCACCCTTATTTAGCTCAGTTGTGCTATACTAGCTATGCAGAACAGTAAAATGAAACACAGATATACTTAACTGCATCATGCTTTCTTAGTGTTATACTGACAAATACTTAATGACTATATTATAAAAACAACAAGCAGTATTACACAGTGTTAAACATGAGAAAAGAGAAAATGAGTCTGAACAGAAGATTGATTGTTCTTATCAAAACTTACCTTCATTGTAGCATTAACAACTGTTTCTTTTTTGTACCCAGCTGCTTTGGAAAGAAATTGTCTGAATGAGGTAGTGGGATGAGTGTCATTGACATCCATACCATTTGTATATGTCAGCTTTTCATTCATCTTCTCCAAAGATTCTGGAATATTACTTAAGTTCACCAGCTTGACCTCACTGAAACCTTCAAAATCACCCCAGGTATTGTTGGATTCCACTGTGCTGTTATCCTGAGGACTCTCCAGTGATCCTTCATCAATTGTTCCATCATCTCTCTTGCTGTGAAATTTTTTCTGAACCATTTCCATTTCCAGGGATGCATCAAGATTTCCATTTTGGTTTAAATAAAGGCTTCCAGTTCTACAGCTGTACTCACTTGGAGACATGGCATATTTCTCTGTGGACAGAGCTTTTAAACATGACTGGTCTGCCCCTTCCACACTACTATTCATTTGCAGTAAATTCTGCCCCTGCATTTTAGCTATTGTAGCAATGAGGAATCATTCATTAACATCAACAAAAATGCTACTGAGACACAATAAAGCCATTAATATTAGGAAGGTACAATGGACCATTTCATTGTGTCTTGAATAGTTTGCAATAATATTGCTAAGCAAATCAGCATGTCCTTCAATGTCTCCTAAGTCATCAATACAATGCCTGTTTTTCAGTCTTGCATCAAATCCAGGTTTCAGCCTGCAAAAGAAGAGTTATAAATAAAGACCTCTGATAACAATGTGAGTAAGGTTCACAAAAGATAAGCTGTGAGGCAAGAGAAACATTCATGCTTTAACAAATAAATTCCAATGTGCTTTAAAAACTTTTCTTTTAAAAAAGCCTTAACCTACAGCAACTCAGATCTATGCAACTTGCTTTTTATGTCCAAGATAGCTTTGTATATGAGTTTTGTCAAATAGCTTGGAGCAAATAAATGTGCTATAAAACATGTTTGTCAGGTGGTTATGTCTAATGAATAAAAAAGACCCTTTGAAAACTTTTACTAGTTGTAAAAACCTTTCCTGTTTCTAGAAATCAGTTTAAACAAACAGCCATAGTGTGTTTCCTTGCACAGGAAAAAAAAGCTAAAATTGACAATGAAATGTTTTATAATAATTTACTAGATTATAATTATAATGGCAACACCAAAAACATTGAGATACCTTTTACAATTAATATATTCATTATTATATAGGTTTTTAAAAGATTACAAGAAAACCTTTATCTGCTCAATAATTCAAATATTTTGCACTTTATTGCAAAATAACTTACAGTTTGATGGTAAGAAATATCACACATGAGAACACGTTACAGTGCATATTGCAAAAAAACAAACTTGTTTCAAGGGAACCCTTGATCTCTTGCCTAACAATCCCTAAACATTTTAAAAACACCTCAGATATTTATACAAGTGAAGGCATTTTAAACGTTTTGACTCTATTATTCATAATAATAATTTATCCATTTGAAAAATGCCCCAAAGATATGATCTACAGAATAAATCCTCCGCAAAGAGAACACAAAGTGTTCAATAAAATCAGATTTTAAATTGTAAATCAAATTAAAATGTAATCATAATAGGCAGCCTATGGAAAAGACAGGAGCAAGTTTGGTGTAGTGGTTAAGGCACCATGCTAGAAACCAGGAGACAATGAGTTCTAGTCCTGCCTTTGGCACAAAGCCAACTGGGTGACGTTGGGCTAGTCACTCTCTCTCAGTCCTAGGAAAAAGGAGGCAATGGCAAACCACTTCTGAAAAACCTTGCCAAGATAATCCAGGCAGTCGCCAGGAGTCAACACTGACTCGATGGTACCAAAAAAAAAAGGGAAAAACAGAAAGGAACTGGATTATCTATATACTACTAAAACTCTCATGTCTGTATCCTTCAACTGGGTGAAACAATGCATCATAGGGCAACAGTTTTTGAACCAAGGTACCTCAAATAGGCTAACTTACAGAATGTGCCCAAAATCAGACACCCATTACTCTTGTGGGATTGAATTTGGGAAATTTGTAGCTGCTTCAGCACTGCTGTGCTGCTGCACACCAGGGTCACCCCAGGTCACATGATCATCATGGCGTATCCCCGACTTCTTTCCCTCCTCCCTCTGTCCACTGCACCCAATCATTAGGCAGCAAGGCCTGACAGGCAAGCAGTGATTGGCTGCTTTGAAACCAAGGCAGAAATTTGAAATCTCTTAACAGCTGTGGGCTTTGAGGGAAGGATGAGGGAGCGGCTTGGATGCCTGCTGGCAAGGTAGGGCTGGCTGGGGGGCACCGGTGGTTGACGGGTGAGCCCTCTTCCTCTCTCGAAGGAGGGGGCCCTTGGGGACAAGCCAGAATGGGAAGCAGGGGTGCAGTTTTCCTCATGGTCCACAGGTCCCTTTGTCACACCTCCCCCCAGAAAAGTGGCAGGCAGTTCTGTGGGTGAGCTGAGGAGGAAGAGGAGGAGGAGGTTCACCAGAGCTCTCCTGAAGGTTGTGAGAGGAAGGCAAATAGCGCAAGCCTATAGGGAGGGAGGGAGGGAGGGAGGGGGAAAAAGAAGGAAGATTCTGACACTCTCTGCCAGTTTCCCACAAGCAAATCAATGGGGAAGCCAGCAGCAAGCTGTAAGTTGCTCACACTCCCAGTACTTTTTTGCCCTTGGTCTTTCTGTTTCTCTGTTTAGGTAAGGAAATATATCTGAAACAATGACCCAATGGGTCACGGGATGCCTAGTATACAGTATATGTTTGTACTGTAAGAAATCACCTTGCTTTCACTGCAATTTACACCTTGGTACATTTACTTCACGCTAGATCAGTTAAAGATTACTGTATAGTGTTCGACCTGGGAAGATTTCATTTCTACATCTCAGTTTGAAACATTCTGAGCAAAGCAGTCCTATTATAAAATCCAATAAGTCCTTCCACTGATAGAACTACTTTCTATCTTTCTTTCTGGAAGTACAGGTAGTCCCCAGTTTAAGAACGAGTTCCATTCCCAAGGTCTGTCCTTAAGTTG